TGGAGGTGGTGATGGTGTGGAGGAGGAATTACGGGAGGAATGATAGATGGGTCTATGGACTGATGGACTTATCATTGGAGTATACTACAGACGTCCTGAGGTCTATGAGAAGGGGGAGAGTTGGCTGTTCCAACAAGGTGATGATGCGGAGGAGGAATTACGGGAGGAAAATGATAGATGGGTCTATGGACTGATGGACTTATCATTGGAGTATACTACAGACATCCTGAGCTCTATAAGGAAGCAGAGTGTTGACTCCTCGTAAAAATAGAATCATCGAACCACAAGTATACAGTGAAAAAAATGCGTATTTGATCCCCTGCTGATTTTGAATGTTCGCCCACTCACAAAGAAATGATCAGTCTAAAAATCGAATGTTCAGTGTATTGTAACACAGAGACAGAATAGCAACAACAAATTCAGCAGAAATGCATGTCTAACAAATGATGACTGATCTGCATGTTCATGAGGGAAATAAGGATTTGATCCCCTATCATTCAGCAGGATTTCTGGCTACCAGGTGTCTTTCATACAGGTAACAAGCTGAGATTAGAAGCAGTCTCTTAAAGGGAGTGCTGCTTATCTCATTTTGTTACCTGTATAAAAGACACCTGTCCACAGGAGCAATCAAACCATCAGATTCCAAACTCTCCACCATGGCAAAGAGCAAAGAGCTGTCTAAGGATGTCGGACAAGATTGTAGACCTACACAAGGCTGAACTGGGCTACCAAACTATCGTCAAGCAGCTTGGTGAGAAGGTGACAACAGTTGGTGCAATCATTCGCAAATTGAAGAAATACAAAACAACTGTCAGTCTCCCTAGGACTGGTGCACCATGCAAGATCTCACCTCGTGGAGTGTCAATGATCATGAGAACAGTGAGGAATCATCCCAGAACTACACGTGAGGATCTTGTCAATGATCTTCAGGCAGCTGGGACCACAGTCACCAAGAAAACAATTGGTAACACACTACGCCGACCAGGACTGAAATCCTGCAGTGCCCGCAAGGTCCCTCTGCTCAAGAAAGCACATGTCCAGGCCCGTCTGAAGTTTGCCACTGAATATCTGAATGATGCAGAGGAGGACTGGTTGAAATGGTTGTGGTCAGAGGAGACCAAAATCCAGCTCTTTGGCATCAACTCAACTCGCCGTGTTTGGGGGAGGAGGAATGCTTCCTATGACCCCAAGAACACCATCCCAACTGTCAAACATGGTGGTGGAAACATTCTGCTTTGGGGGTGTTTTTCTGCTAAGGGGACAGGACAACTGCACCGCATCAAAGGGATGATGGACGGGGCAAAGTACTGTCAAATCTTGGGTGAGAACCTTCTTCCCTCAGCCAGGGCATTGAAAATGGTTCATGGATGGGTGTTCCAGCATGACAATGACCCAAAACACACGGCCAAGGCAACAAAGGAGTGGCTCAAGAAGAAGCACATTAAGGTCCTGGAGTGGCCTAGCCAGTCTCCAGACCTTCTTCCGATTGAAAATCTGTGGAGGGAGCTGAAAGTTTGAGTTGCCAAACGTCAGCCCCCAAACCTTAATGACTTAGAGAGGATCTGCCAAGAGGAGTGGGCCAAAATCCCTCCTGAGATGTGTGCAAACCTGGGGGCCAACTCCAGAAAACATCTGACCTCTTGGATTGCCAAGAAGGGATTTGCCACCAAGTACTAAGTCATGTTTTGTGAAGGGGATCAAATCCTTATCTCCCTCATGAACATGCAGATCAGTCATCATTTGTTAGACATGCATTTCTGCTGAATTTGTTGTTGCTATTCTGTCTCTCAGTGTTACAATACACCGAACATTCGATTTTTAGACCGATCATTTCTTTGTGAGTGGGGGAACATTCAACATCAGCCGGGGAGCAAATACGCATTTCCTTCACTGTAAATGAAAAACAACTATTGTGAGGGACTAAGTTGAAATTAGAGACACAAACTCCATTTTCTCCAACAAAAAATCTGTTTATTCCAACATAAAACAATGCAAACCACCCGGGCTTCCCCCTGCAAGTTCTTGGCTGAACCTTACGTGGTGCAGTGAATGAACAATGTCCGGCGTCAGCAGATATGTCCTCTCTGAGACCAGCAGCAGTTCATAGACGGCTTGACAGCCAAAATTTGGTACACAGGTTCAAGAACCCATCCCACTCAACTTCCTTGAGGATTCTCCATGAGAACCAACCCAGGTCCTCGTTCTGTAACCAACACCAGGTAAAGAACGAGATTTCCTCACCCCTACAGGCTTGCAGGCTTCACCATAAAATGAGGATCCAAGATGTCATGGAGCTACATACCTCCCATATATATGAACTCTCTGATATCTGGAAAGTTGGGCCTTCTGTGAAAAGCATCAGGGTCGGAACACAACTTTTCTCTCCTGTGTGAGATGTTTGGTGTCTAATTCTGATCTACAGTCAGGTCCATAAATATTGGGACATGGACACAATTCTAACATTTTTGGCTCTATACACCACCACAATGGATTTTAAATAAAACAAACAAGATGTGCTTTAACTGCAGACTGTCAGCTTTAATTTGAGGGTATTTACATCCAAATCAGGTGAACGGTGTAGGAATTACAACAGTTTGCATATGTGCCTCCCACTTGTTAAGGGACCAAAAGTAATGGGACAATTGGCTTATCAGCTGTTCCATGGCCAGGTGTGTGTTATTCCCTCATTATCCCAATTACAATGAGCAGATAAAAGGTCCAGAGTTCATTTCAAGTGTGCTATTTGCATTTGGAATCTGTTGCTGTCAACTTTCAAGATGAGATCCAAAGAGCTGTCACTATCAGTGAAGCAAGCCATCATTAGGCTGAAAAAACAAAACAAACCCATCAGAGAGATAGCAAAAACATTAGGCGTGGCCAAAACAACTGTTTGGAACATTCTTAAAAAGAAAGAATGCACCGGCGAGCTCAGCAACACCAAAAGACCCGGAAGACCACAGAAAACAACTGTGGTGGATGACCGAAGAATTCTTTCCCTGGTGAAGAAAACACCCTTCACAACAGTTGGCCAGATCAAGAACACTCTCCAGGAGGTAGGTGTATGTGTGTCAAAGTCAACAATCAAGAGAAGACTTCACCAGAGTGAATACAGAGGGTTCACCACAAGATGTAAACCATTGGTGAGCCTCAAAAACAGGAAGGCCAGATTAGAGTTTGCCAGACGACATCTAAAAAAGCCTTCACAGTTCTGGAACAACATCCTATGGACAGATGAGACCAAGATCAACTTGTACCAGAGTGATGGGAAGAGAAGAGTATGGAGAAGGAAAGGAACTGCTCATGATCCTAAGCATACCACCTCATCAGTGAAGCATGGTGGTGGTAGTGTCATGGCGTGGGCATGTATGGCTGCCAATGGAACTGGTTCTCTTGTATTTATTGATGATGTGACTGCTGACAAAAGCAGCAGGATGAATTCTGAAGTGTTTCGGGCAATATTATATATTATTATAATATTAAATGCTTCAGAACTCATTGGACGCTTCACAGTGCAGATGGACAATGACCCAAAGCATACTGCAAAAGCAACCAAAGAGTTTTTTAAGGGAAAGAAGTGGAATGTTATGCAATGGCCAAGTCAATCACCCGACCTGAATCCGATTGAGCATGCATTTCACTTGCTGAAGACAAAACTGAAGGAAAATGCCCCAAGAACAAGCAGGAACTGAAGACAGTTGCAGTAGAGGCCTGGCAGAGCATCTCCAGGGATGAAACCCAGCGTTTGGTGATGTCTATGCGTTCCAGACTTCAGGCTGTAATTGACTGCAAAGGATTTGCAACCAAGTATTAAAAAGTGAAAGTTTTATTTATGATTTTTATTCTGTCCCATTACTTTTGGTCCCTTAACAAGTGGGAGGTACATATGCAAACTGTTGTAATTCCTACACCGTTCACCTGATTTGGATGTAAATAACCTCAAATTAAAGCTGACAGTCTGAAATTAAAGCACATCTTGTTCGTTTCATTTCAAATCCATTGTGGTGGTGTATAGAGCCAAAAATGTTAGAATTGTGTCGATGTCCCAATATTTATGGACCTGACTGTATATGAAAAGCATTTCCCACACTCAAGGCTGGAATACAACAATTTCCCCCGTGTGGTATTTCAGATGTATGTAAAGACTAGAAGTCTGTGAAAAACATTTCCCGCACTCAGGGCAGGTATAGGTCTTCTCCCCTCTGTGAGATCTGTGATGTTTTGTTAGATTGTGTAAATGTGCAAAACATTTCCCGCACTCAGGGCAGAAATGCGGCTTTTCTCCTGTGTGAGATCTTTGGCGTCTAAGTCTTATTTTATTTTTTAAAATTCCCGCACTGAGAACAGGAATATGGTTTCTGCCCCATGTGTGATTTCAGATGTGTGGAAAGACTAGAAGTCTGTGAAAAACATTTCCCGCACTCATGGCCGATATGCGGCTTTTCTCCTGCGTGAGATCTTTGATGTTTAGTTAGATTGTATCACTGTGCAAAACATTTCCTGCACTCAGGGCAGGAATATGGCTTCTGCCCCATGTGTGATTTCAGATGTTTGGAAAGATGGGACTTCTAAGAATAACATTTTCCACACTCAGGGCAGGAATACGGTTTTCCTCCTCTGTGAGATAGTTTGTGTCTAATTCTGATTTTCTGAGAGAACATTTCCCACATTTAGGGTAGGAATACGACTTCTCCCTTGCGTGGGATTTCAAATGTGTGGAAAGAGGAGATTTCTGTGAAAAAGATTTTCAATACTCAGGGCAGGAGTACGGCTTTTCTCCCATGTGAGATCTTTGATGTACAAGTCTTGATTTGTATGAAAAACATTTCCTGAACTCAGGGCAGGAATAAAGCCTCTCCCTTGAGTGGGATTTCAGATGTGTGTAAACATTAGATGTCTGTGAAAAACATTTTCTGCACTCAGGCCCGGGATATGGCTTTTCTCCTGTGTGAGATCTTTGATGTACGACGAGTACTGATTTGTATGAAAAACATTTTCCGCACTCGGCAGGAATACAGCCTCTCCCTTGAGTGGGATTTCAGATGCGTGGAAACAGAAGACATCTGTGAAAAACATTTTCTGCACTCAGGGCAGGGAAACGGCTTTTCTCCCGTGTGAGATCTTTGATGTACAACAAGTGCTGATTTGTATGAAAAACATTTTCCGCACTCAGGGCAGGGATATGGCTTTTCTCCCGTGTGAGATCTTTGATGTCCAACAAGTCCTGATTTGTATGAAAAACATTTTCCGCACTCAGGGCAGGGATACGGCTTTTCTCCAGTGTGAGATCTTTGATGTACAACAAGTGCTGATTTGTATGAAAAACATTTTCCGCACTCAGGGCAGGGATACGGCTTTTCTCCCGTGTGAGATCTTTGATGTACAACAAGTCCTGATTTGTATGAAAAACATTTTCCGCACTCAGGGCAGGGATACGGCTTTTCTCCCGTGTGAGATCTTTGATGTCCAACAAATCCTGATTTGTATGAAAAACATTTTCCGCACTCAGGGCAGGGATACGGCTTTTCTCCCGTGTGAGATCTTTGATGTCCAACAAGTCCTGATTTGTATGAAAAACATTTCCCGCACTCAAGGCAGGAATATGGCCTCTCCCCTGTGTGGGATTTCAGATGCATGGAAAGTTGAGACTTCTGTGAATAACATTTCCCGCACTCAGGGACAGGAATACGGCTTCTCCCCTGTGTGAGATCTTTTATGCATATTAAGACAATATTTAAAAGGGAAACATTTCTTACACTCAGGACAGGAGAAGCCCTTCCCTGTTGGAAAGCCAGCCTGGTCCCGCACAGTCTGAGGTTCCTCAGGATATGAGGAATCCGATGGTTCATCTACACTGTGTGGTGCCAGATGGACATTGGAGGGAGCCGGGTTTTCTCCTGGACTATACTGTGTGATGTCCTCATCTTCTACTTTCCAGTCTGGAGACAAAGTGAGACAATCCTCGGAGGTTTTCCTCATCTCCCGGCCATGGACTAAAAGACAAAGAGGATTACTAGACAGGAGCTGATTGGTTCCCCCAAACCAGGACTCCGCCCACATCAGGCAGCTTGGTCTCTGAGGAATTTCCAATTCCACCCACAAGGGAACTAGGAAAAGGCTCCTCTGATCTCCTACCAGGTCTTTTCTTTATTCATGGACCTTAGTCAGAGAGTGAACAACCAGAACTGTCTTTTATAGGAGGGACAGTGAGGAGGGAATTATAGGTTGAGGGTCCCCACCCAGCTTTGTCTCTGAGGAGCTTAACTGGTAAATGGTTCCTCCTGACCTCCCACCAGTTTCATTCTATAACCTTAGTCAGAGATTGGGGGGACCAATGAGGACCATCCTTAGAGGTGTGAACACAGTGGGGGGATTATATTGCCTAGTCTCTTCCATCATTTATTGCTTTCTTCCTAACACTGGAAAAACTACATTGCCTTATTTTCCTCAACTGGAGGTCAGAGAGTGAGGATTTGGGGAGCCCAACGAAGATGAAGATGGGACTGATCCTGAAGACCACCATCACTGGGGTTGAGATTCATCATTTATGATCCCTTTCTATTAATGGTTCCAATCATTTTGAGGATGTGACCACGTCACTAGACTTGTAAAGGTCTGAACTCTATCTAGTGGTGGAAAGAGGGTGAATAATGATAGTAAGGAAAGTTTCGTACTTCGCCTTCCTCCTCCTGAACTTTGTACACCTGTTCCGGGTCAGAGAGGGAAAGAACTCAAGCCAGGGGCTCAGCCGGGGGGGTACCTAGTATTTTCAGTAGAAGGTCCAGCAATGCAGCCCCGGGATCTCTCTCAGGGGTCATTTATTACACCATTTGGGGGAGAATGAAGATCTAATGTGCAGGATGGAGAACACAATTCAGGGAAGTGGCCTGAATCGCCCCACCTGGTACCAATCAGCGGTATGAACAGAGGAATGTTCTAAAGGGTACGTAAAGTCTACCAATGACCTTCTCTTGAGGGAAACACCTACATTGTATGCTGCCTCCATGTTAGAAACATTGCCTCTCTGTCAGCTTCAACCGGTCCGATGATTCCAGGTGGCTCCTTGGCTTGCTGGGTCTTATGGAGCCCTGTCGTGGCCATCTTTTTGTGCACGCTCCCAGGAGGGGACAGGAGGCCCCAGAAAACTAGACAGAGGAGACACGCCTATCCTCCTCCATGGAAAGTGAATGAATGTGTGGGCACACATGCATGATGGCGCTCTGAATAATGAGACATGTGGTCCCAAGGAGGGGGAACAGAAGTGGCCTACGTGGGGGCACGATTGCATGATGGCGCTCTGAATAATGAGACATGTGGTTCCAAGGAGGGGGAGCAGAAGTGGCTTACGTGGGGGCACACATGCATGATGGCGCTCTGAATAATGAGATGTGGTCCCAAGGAGAAGGAGCAGAAGTGGCTTACGTGGGGGCACACATGCATGATGGCGCTCTGAATAATGAGATGTGGTCCCAAGGAGAAGGAGCAGAAGTGGCTTACGTGGGGGCACACATGCATGATGGTGCTCTGAATAATGAGACATGTGGTCCCAAAGAGGAGAAGCAGAAGTGGCTTACGTGGGGGCACGCATGCATGATGGCGCTCTGAATAACAAAATGTGGTCCCAAGGAGGGGAAGCAGAAGTGGCTTACGTGGGGGCATGGTTGCATGATGGCACTCTGAATAATGAGACATGTGGTTCCAAGGAGGGGGAGCAGAAGTGGCTTACGTGGGGGCACACATGCATGATGGTGCTCTGAATAATGAGACGTGGTCCCTAGGAGAGGGAGCTGAAGTGGCTTACGTGGGGGCACACATGCATGATGGTGCTCTGAATAATGAGACATGTGGTCCCAAAGAGGAGAAGCAGAAGTGGCTTACATGGGGTCACGCATGCATGATGGCGCTCTGAATAATGAGACATGTGGTCCCCAAAGAGGAGCAGAAGTGGCTTACGTGGGGTCACGCATGCATGATGGCGCTCTGAATAATGAGACATGTGGTCCCAAAGAGGAGAAGCAAAGTGGCTTACGTGGGGTCACGCATGCATGATGGCGCTCTGAATAATGAGACATGTGGTCCCAAAGAGGAGAAGCAGAAGTGGCTTACGTGGGGGCACGCATGCAGGATGGCGCTCTGAATAATGAGACATGTGGTCCGAAGGAGGGGAAGCAGAAGTGGCTTACGTGGAGGCACACATGCATGATGGTGCTCTGAATAATGAGACGTGGTTCCAAGGAGGAGAAGCATAAGTGTCTTACGTGGGGGCACACATGCATGATGGCGCTCTGAATAATGAGACATGTTGTCCCAAGGAGGGGGAGCAGAAGTGGCTGGCTTACGTGGGGGCACACATGCATGATGGTGCTCTGAATAATGAGATATGGAGGGGGAGCAGGTGACTTTCTATGATGTGGTCGGTGTGCTCTCCTCAAAGCATTGCAGTGGAAGGCGGAGGTTGTGCTTGTAAGGAAGCAAGCATTTGTTGTCCTCTTCTCAGCTGGTCTACACCAGGGGTTTGGCACCCCCCACGAGAGGCAGGACTTTCACAGCCTTTATGTAGGCCAGCTGGTGGATTTAGCCACAAAGCTTGGGCATCTTCATGGCCAAGCCACAGCTTGGAGTCAGGGGACTGGGAACTGAGCCGAGAGTTCAGGGAGAGAAGATCGACGACAGTACGGGATAAGCAGGGAGCAACGTTCAGGGGAGACGCAGATCAAGGAGAATCTGGAGGGGACACAGGCAGGACAGTGTGGACACAAGGAGAGGGGACACACAGAACTGCCAGAGAGGGGCCACCTGGGAGAAGGTTCTAACAGTCGCTGGTCATTACGTAAGCAAGTCACAGTACAACACTGCTGAAAAATGTAGTGCCCTCTAGTGATAGACTTTGTTATTTTTGCTAGTCGGAGGCTGGGTAGCAACCTGGGAGTGAGGTAGTGAGTTCACCTCAGGAACATGCTGGGAGGCCCTGTATTTCAGAGTTTCTGAAGCCCTCCCACCCTTCCAAAAACTTCTGGAACTTTCTGGTAGAGGGGCGGAGGAGGGAAGGAGGCCCAAATTTGCATGTTTTGGGAACTTAGCCAATCCCCAGACAGGAGGCTGGGCATGGTGGCCAAGGGCAACCCTTAAACATTTGCATGTTTAGGGGAACTTGGCCAATCCCCAGACAGGAGGCTGGGCATGGTGACCAAGGGCAACCCTTAAACATTTGCATGTTTAGGGGAACTTGGCCAATCCCCAGACAGGAGGCTGGGCATGGTGGCCAAGGGCAACCCTTAAACATTTGCATGTTTAGGGGAACTTGGCCAATCCCAAGCAGGAGGCTGGGCATGGTAGCCAAGGGAAACCCTTAAATGTGACAGAGCCTGTGCATCAGGAGAGTGGGGTGGAAGATGGACTGAGAGATGGCTGGAGTGTGGAGCCTGGGAGGGGGCCTCAAGGAGGGAGACCTACCTACAGGCTGGTTGCTGGACAGAAGGATCTCCACTTCCCTACAATCTCCTGGGGAGGACAACCTGTCAGCCGGGAAGGAGCCAGTCCAGCGTAAGGCATAAAAGCAGCTACTACCCACCAAGCCGACAGGACAGTATGAGTACTTCTACACCTCCTGGGCCAGATAAAGGGAGAGGGTGGCCAGGAGCAAGACCCAACTAGTTCTCATCTGGGACTACTTAATTGGAAGATCTTGGAATCCATTGCTCAGGGATACCCTCATCTGGGGTCTGAGGAGGTATACCAAGAGGACATCAGTGCTCCTTAAAGAGACAGGCTCTGCATTATCCCTTATCTAAACTATTCCTCTTTATGAATGTTGAAATTTAGGAGGCATGTCATTGAAGTAGCTGACACCAATGTTGGGGGTAATTATTGCAGTTACTGACACCAATGCTGGGAGTTACTATTGCTGCCATTGATACCCCTGTTGGGGGTTATTATTGATATCATTGACACCAATGTTGGGGGGGTTATTATTGAAGTAACTGACACCAATGCTGATGGGTTATATTGAAGTAACTGACACCAATGTTGGGGGATATTATAGCAGTCACTGACACCAATGCTGTGGGTTATTATTGAAGTAACTGACACCAGTGTTGAGGGCTATTATAGCAGTCACTGACACCAATGTTGGGGGTCATTATTGAAGTCACTGACATTAACGCTGGTGGTTATTATTGCAGTTACTGACACCAATGCTAGGAGTTACTATTGCTGCCATTGATACCAGTGTTGGGGGTTATTATTGAAATCATTGACACTAATGTTGGGGGTTATTATAGCAGTCAGTGACACCAATTCTGGGGTTATTATTGAAGTAAGGTACACCAATGTTGTGGGCTATTATAGCAGTAACTGACACAAATGTTGGGGGTTATTATTGAAGTCACTGACACCAATGTTGAGGGTTATTATTGAAATCACTGACGTCAATGCTGGGAGTTTTTATTGAAGTAATTGACACCAATGTTGGGGGTCATTATTGAAGTCACTGACTTCAATGTTGGGGGTTATTATTAAAGTCACT